TGGGTTGTGTGCGCATTGTGTGTGTGTGTGTAAAGCCGGTGTTGTCTGCAGACAGTGGCGAAGAGGCGACGGGAGCAGCTAAACATGACCTCAGGCTCTGAGACATAAAACAACTTTAAAGCTGCTGAGTTTTTGATTTAAAAAAATTGTGAGATTTTCATCTGTTTTCATGACACAAATGAGGACATTTTATGTAATTCTACAGACAATCAGTATTAGTGTGTTGAAAGTGAACTTATCTTTGCATTTTTACATCTTATCTTGACATTTCTCAGACAATATTCTTGAACATAAAATCCGAGGCAGTGATTGGTCCATGCTGGGGTTTTTTCTAACGAAGTCATCCAGGATCAGCTTTGCGGCACAGCCAGGTGTCGCAAATCAGCTCTAAGACTGACACTTAAGAATTACTCCTACACTTCGCTTAAAGGAAGACTGAGACGCTTGATAACTGACCTTTACTCTTAGCTTTTAACTAAGAAATGTTTTTTACACTTAAGTTCGCTCTTAGCAGCATTCTTAAGAGTAATTCTAAGAAGTTTTATARATACGGGCCCAGGCCAACAGTCTCCAATGGTTTGACTCACCTGAACCACAGTGCTCAGGCCAAAGGTTGTTTCAGTCCCAATGGAGCCGACCTCACCCACTCCGCTGTGCCCTTGCTGACACAATGGCTGACCAAAAAAAAAAAAGAGTTGCCATTATAAAAACAGTCATACTCTAATAATTGGTTGGACCACCTTTATCTTTGATTACGACACACATTCTCTSTGGCATTGTTTGGATAAGCTTCTGCAACATCACAAGAATGTATTTCATCCAGTGTTGTATTAATGTTTCACAAAGATCTTGCATTGATGATGGTAGAGTCTGACCTTCTCCTGCACATCCCAAAGATTCTCAGTGGACTCTGTGGAGCCAATCCATGTGTGAAAATGATGTCTCATGTTCCCTGAACCACTCTTTCACAAGAAGAGCCCCATGAATCCTGGCATTGTCATCTTGGAAAATGGCCGTGCCATCAGGGAAGAAACAATCATTGATGGAATAACCTGGTCATTCAGTATATTCAGCTGACCTCATTCTTTGAGCACAAACTGTTGCTGAACCTAGACCTGACCACCTGCAGAGACCTCACATCATAGACCTGACCACCTGCAGAGACCCCACATCATAGACCTGAGTTACATGCAGGTGGACACTTGTTTTTGGTCGGGCAGTGCAGTTGGGGGTAAAGTGTCATGCTGGTTTAAGCCGTCTGTTTTGTTTTTTCTCTGTTGTAGACTCTCCTGCCTGCACAGGCTTCAGTCAACATCTCGATCACCCGTTCTTCTTGTTTCACTGATCTCAGCTCGGTGCTGCTCACAGACGGCGTGCAGAGAGGCACTTTCAGTCTGACTTATACGTGCCACCCTCATCATCACCATCATAGTCTGAAGGCTTTTGTTCTGCACTCTGTAAAAGCCCTGGAGATGCTGCACGTTCCCACTGATGGAGTTCTACTTCTCAATGTCACCGCTTCACGTTTACCTGCTGTGGATTTTGGATTAGAACTGGGACGTTGTTATTTTAGGGGGGCTTTGGGTAAAACAACTGATTCACAGGAAGAAGTTAAACATTTTTACTCTGTTAATGTGACCAGCTGCTGCCCTGTGGTTCAGGTAGGAGCATGACTTTTATTTAATGCTGTGTGATATCCAACTTATGGAAAAAACTAACTAATATTCAAACATTATTTTCAGTTCATTTAATCTATTCGGTTTGAACAGAATTAGATGAGCTCCACTGTGTTTTTGGCTCAGGGAACCATCCTGGCCCGGTCCCTGGCCCTACAGGGCCTCCTGTTGGTCACTTCCTGTCAGGTGACTGTGTCCTCCTTGCTGAGGACAGACAACCAGGACCTGTCTGTGGAGCTCAGTCAGTCCTGCAGGACCCCACATCTCTCTGGGACCCTCACTCACTCCTTCCCTGGCCTGAAGAGTCTGGGTGTGCCACAGATTATCACCATGGAGGCTGACGCTCCTGAAGGGCCTGAGAAGGCCAGGACTCTGCTTCTGAAAATTGGAATGTGCTCCATTAGAGCAAAAAAAGTCTCTGAGGCCAGAGGAACGCCTCAGGAGCTATGGGCTTTAGAGTCAACATGTCCGGTGTTGCAGGTAGGAATTGTTCAATGTTTATCCTGTTGAATGCTTTGTTTTTGCTCTGTGTTTGCACAGATATATCACACAACCAAACCCAGACATTAAGTAAAGGCCTAACATTCCTTGAAGGAATACCTATTACAGCCTAACTATTTAGAACCCTAAAAATTATTTTATTCTCAATCTCACATTATATTACAAGATGGTATATAATTAACCCTTGGACTATGAATTGGGAATGACTCTCAGCTACTACCACATCAAGTTTTAGCTCCATGTTTGTGTAATCAGCTAAGTCAGTGATTCTTAATGAAGGACTGAAACTAACATAATTAAAAATAAAAGCAGAAATATATAAAATTATGAATGAATGAATGAATAAATAAATAAATAAATAAATAAATACATACATACATACATGCATACA